TCCGCCACCTGTGGCGCAGACGCGACATTACTCTCGCCCTGAAGGGCAGAATTTATAACGCAGCCGTCCGTTCAACTCTTCTATATGGCTGTGAAACCTGGCCCATCTGGTCGACAGACATGAAGAGACTGGTCACATTCGATCATCGCTGCCTTCGCAGCTTAGCTCATGTCTGGTGGGAACACCGCGTGAGCAATGAGCGTGTTCGGCATCGCGTATTTGGTGCAGGAAGAGCGAGTGAACCGCTCAGCACGATTATATCACACACCAGGCTTCGCTGGCTGGGCCACGTGTTGCGCATGCCAGCACACCGACTCCCGCGACGTGCACTGTTTGCGCGTTGTGGATGCGGTTGGAAGACGAGGAGGGGAGGCCAAGTGATGACTTGGTCGACAGAAATGAAAACCCTCACTTCGAAGTTGGCGTCAGTTGGTGCACCAACTGACGTCAAGATCGAAGTGAGGCTTTCATTTCTGTCGACCAAGTCATCGCTTGGCCTCCCCTCCTCATCTTTCAACCGCACCCCCGGCGCGCAAACAGTGCACGTCGCGGGAGTCGGTGTGCTGGCATGCGCAACACGTGGCCCATCCATCGGAACCTGGTGCGTGATATAATCGTGCTGAGCGGTTCACTCGCTCTTCCTGCACCAAATACGCGATGCCGAACACGCTCATTGCTCACGCGGTGTTCCCACCAGACATGAGCTAAGCTGCGAAGGCAGCGATGATCGAATGTGACGAGTCTCTTCATGTCTGTCGACCTGATGGGCCAGGTTTCACAACCATATAGAAGAGTTGAACGGACGGCTGCGTTATAAACTCTGCCCTTCAGGGCGAGAGTAATGTCGCGTCTGCGCCACAGGTGGCGGAGATTGGCAAAAGCACCTCGAGCTTTTGCTATACGGTTCGCAACCTCATCTTCAATCCAACGGGTGCTAATATAGCTGCCCAGGTACTTGAATTCCTGAACGACTTCTAGCAGATCACCACCAAGCGTTAGCGCAGGGTTGGGTCCCTGCCAATCTTGGAGAAGTACTTTGCATTTCGATGGAGCAAAGCATAGCCTAAAACGATTGACAGCCAGTGCTAATCGGTCCAGTGCTGTTTGGCATGTTTGGGGGCTGTCACAGATTAGGGCAATATCGTCCGCATACTCCAAGTCAAGAAGCCGTTCACCAGGAAGTAGATCCACACCTCCTAGGTCGTATCCAGCGAACGGTTTCCATGACTCCGTCAATAGTGAAGTCGAAGAGAAAAGGTGACAGCGGGCATCCTTGTCTTACACCACTAAAGACATTGAAGGGGGCGACAGCTTGCCATAAGCCCTCACTCTGCCCGAACTATGCGCATACATTGCTTGGATAATGTTTACACATTTATCGGGCACTCCTTTCCTGAGTAGATAGTTCCAAAGGGCACATCGACCAACTGAGTCGAAGGCACCTTTCATGTCGAGGAACAAGACAACACTGGGTGGCCAATATATATGACGGTGCGCTAATAACTGACGCAAGGTGAATATGTGGTCGATACATCCTCGACCTCGACGAAATCCGGCTTGCTCCTCACGAATCTGGCTTTCACGAGTGCCAGTCAGTCTGTGGAGAATGACAGAGGCAAGCAATTTAGAGGCAATCGAAATCAGACTGATCCCTCTATGATTGCCGCACTCCAAACGGGAGTTTCCCTTGAAAATTGGGACAATGACGGAGCGGTTCCAGTCTGTCGGGACTGTCTCCTGCTCCCAAAGTTTTACTAGCAACTCGTGTAGATCATCTACTAGAGCAGGTCCACCGAATTTGAAGAGGGCTGGGGGAATTCTATCTGCCCCTGCGGCCTTATGCAATTTCAACAGCCTGATCTCACGTTCGACTTCTGCGCGTGAGGGCGGATCCAAGGAGACGGCCCAAGGAGAAGGGCGCTCAATGCCCGAAGAAGAAAGCGATAACTCAGGTTGGTTAAATTGCCTTGCAAAGTGTTCAGCCCAACGCTCCAAGCGTTTTGACAAGCTGTGGATCGGCTGCCCACTCTCGTCGCGTATGGTCTCGCTAACACCAGGTCTCCTGCTGCCTGTTTCCCGTATCAGACGGAATAACTTACGATGATTACCAACGGCAGCGGCTGTTTCCATCTCAGAGGCACGATGAGACCACCAGGTTTCGCGGTCCTTCCTAAGGCTAGCACGTAGTTTTGCCCTGAGATTTTTGCGAGTCTCATTGTATTCGCTTCCAGCCGGAATACGTCGGCGAGCATCCATAAGTTCCAGAGACTGTGTAGAGACCCAATGTCCAGTTTGGCAATTTGCTTTGCCACATGAAGACATGCCTGCTAACAGTAACGTTTGACGAATATGCGACCAGTGATCTTCAACGGTGTTTAGTGGGCGCTTACTCAGCTCAGATGTCAGCGCACTTTGGTACACATTCAGAACATCTGGCTTCGCCAGCTGGCTGGTGTCAATCCGTTCACATCGACGTTACGGACGTCCACATAAACGCACCAGGAGGTCGGCACAGACAAGTGCGTGGTCAGAGTCCACGCTCGTGCTCCAAATCGAGCGACAATTTTGGACACAGCCCCTCCAGTGGTAACTGATCGCGATATGATCGATTTGCGTCCATGGCTGGCCCGAGGCTGGTGGCCGCCAAGTCAAACTTCTGCGGGTACTGTGTCGAAAGTTAGTGCTCGCGAAGAAGAGACGAGCATCTTCACACAGCTGTAGCAATCGCTTACCACCATCGGGGTTGCGCGATCGGAGCGGAGGACGGACATGTGAGGAACTTGCATTTCGCTGTCGGTGATATCGCCGGATAACCATGTTTCCGTTATGCCTATTAGGTCCGTTGGCGTTCACAGAAGTTGGGATTGGAGTTCCGAAAGTTCGCGTAAAAGGCCCTGTGTATGCGTGTAAATACAAGCAAGGTATGTCTGCGTGACAAGTGCGGAAACAATTATCGCGCTGCCGGCCAACTGGTGACCAGCAGTACACCGTGATTTTTGTTTGGTGAAATAGAGTCCTTAAGGTTGCTGGAACTTGGGGATACAGGGTGTGAATCATCGGAGCAGGGGTAGATAGATGCGTGAGGTTTGTTGGGGGGGGGGTTGCCAGTAGGGGTGTGTAGGAGAGCAGGTAACTCCAGGCAATGGGGCAGTTGGTTCGGTAGTGGACAATCTAGATACGGTTGGGGCAGTGTGTGGTGAAGGTATCGAAGGTCTGCTGCTACTAGGGGTGTATGGCAGGCCGTGCGTCGCGTCACCGAGTGGCTTTCTGGAGGTAAGCGGACATCTGGTGGTGCTCGTCTTTTATTAGCATACCAGACAGTGAGGACATCGGTTGCCATGCTAGCGGTGAGGAAAGTCACTTTCAGGAGACGGTGGGCCGTTCCTGTATAACTTGTTGGACGGGGTAGGCGGTGAACGTTCGTCGTAGTTACATTGACAATGGTCAGTATCTGCTAAAGAAACCGCCATTGGTCGCAGTCATGATGCTGTCGTTGTTGTAAGGTTGCGTCAGGGGTACGCGGTTCTGGAAAGCCGTGCACTATAATGGAGCAGGGTTGGGTATGTGTCGCCGGCTGCTGTCTGCGCGCTACATGCTCAGTTCAAGGGGTGACGAGAAAGATACGAAAGCGGTAGGTCCCAAGGGAAGCGTTGATTTGGAGAAGGTGGGCAGACAGCAGAACATCCTCCATGGTCTGCCTGGCTGCAAGTCAACACGAAGAAGTGTTGGCTTACCGGCATTCGGAGATGAAGGGTGGTGAGTCAATCTTGGGAGATTGCAGGATGTAATCTCGGGGAGGTTTAGAGCGTCACAGAAGTCATGGGAATGTAGATTCCGAAGTTGTGGGTCGATAGACTCTGGAACGTTCGTGCATATGACAGAGTTAGGGGTGGAGCCACGCGTTGCAAGTTTATTTGGACGCGAACTTGGGGGGGGGGGCAGTAGGCTTCCTAAGTAGGCGGGTCTTCGCCGGGAGCATTGCGCGTTGCGCATTGACGAGTGCTGGACGGATCGGCATTCTGTAACGAGACAATATGCGAGTCCGGAGGGCTGGAAATCGGCTGTTGCCGTTCGGCTAGGCCATCGAATTTCCGCAGTAGATTCCGAAGCTCTCCTTCTGTGCAGTTGGCGTTATCCGGCGTCTCGACCACTCATGATGACCGGAGCAACTGCGGTTGCGGCTCGTTGTTACGCGATGAGGAGGACGGGTTAGCAGGGGACGAGACAAGCGAGCCCACCATAGGGCATGTGGTGAAGGAGTGGTCACTAGGGATATCACGCCCAGAATGCGCAATGGCAGGAAGGCAAACCAAGCAGATGTAGCGCAGTACGGTTTGCGGATGCGAGCGGCAGAATTCGATGTCGGTTGCGTGGAGTGAAGTGTCACAGGAAGCGTGAACACGGTGTAAACACATTGAGCATGTGATGGCTTTGGAACGAGGCCCCACATGTCGAGCGCAAATCGAGCAATTGTTCGGCAGTTGCATGGGAGAATTGGGGGAAACCAAGCAGGACGGCATGCTCAAGCGAATGACGGGTGTCACTCAATCCTGGAGAAAGTGTTCACGGAGGAACGAATCGCAAAGAAGCTTGTTATTCGCAGCATGTATTTAGAATCTGTTGGCTTTCCTACGAAATTCCTGCAGGTGACACATAAATGTGGCCAGAAGTCTCACGGTAAAAATCAAGGTAGCAAATATTTGATGTGGAGAACCCCAGTAAGTCCCTTGTATGGCGGCTTATCCCATCAGCCCGACAGTTTTTAGAAATATTGGACACATAGTTTACCCGGAAATCCGCAGCTTATTGTGAAAATACAGTGTCCATTTCAGACTAGTTTAATATAGCAAACAAAGGGGAAAGCAGGGCCGATAAAGAATTGAAGTGTGAAAAATTATAAAATCAAAAGACCTATTGCGCTTTTTGAGAAGCGAAAATGAAGTTGAATAGAAAAATGTCCAATAAATGAAAAGTTAACTCAAAAATAAAATGCAACTTGTTGAAGAACCGGTGTCGTGGAACATTTAACTAGTGATCATGGTGATATTCGTCTCAGTCCAGTCGGAAGATTTCTGCACAACGGTATCGGCCAACAACTTTTCACTTCGAAACTCTTGGTCTGGAAGCAACGTGGTTAACACGACGTTCGGTTGCTGTTTATCGCCTGCATCATCCAACGGTTGCATCGAATCCTGCTGGTCTGGAACTAGCGTAATAGCGGGAAACTTGAATAATAATCGTCCACGACGCGCCTGAGAGTAGAATATCGGGGTGATAGGAATCAAAAAGTAAGAACTGGACAGTCATTGCAATTGACGGAAAACATGTGGGTGTATGCTATTTCTGACAGCGGTGGATGAAGTGGCCTAGTAAACCAAGGAGTATGTCAGCTACTCGTGAGTTATTCTTCCCTAGTAAGCCGTCTAACCTTAGTCTGTGGGAAGTCCATTCACTGCACAGATTGGAAGTGTGAAAATACTCGAAGATAGGTCGGCGAAAAGCATTGCTCCGCACCCGCTCTCCTAGGAGCTGACGTTAGTTCAAGTTTCTGGATTCTCCGAAACCTCATCGACTGCAATTGTTGTTGGTGTCGTTCCAGTTAACGGTCCGCACTTGAGCTAAATTTCCACCAGTTAAAACCATCGTTTTGTAGGATGCAATTGTAGAAAATAGACATTTTGAATGAGCAATCAAGAATTTATGTGTTCAAAGCTGGCACCACTGAGCAACAGCCTGGCTAGACACAGCCGAGTGCATTATGGAATAAAAAGGGTCCCGTGCAAATGAGACGATCAAAAAATGGCAGGGTAAACTCTATTTCAAAAACAGCCGGGAGGTTTCGAGGTTACTGGCAGGAGCTCTCACATCTAATCCCTCACAACTGTGAAGATGTCTTGTCGTGTCAATGGAAGCCTAAGTCGGCTAAACTCTAAGGTACAAGAAACTAGTCTGTCAGTTTCTAGTTATTCCTTAGTACTTGTGTGGTAAACATCCACAAAAGGTCAGAAAATGTCGAGTTATCGGAATTTGAAATGTGTGGTGCGAAAAGTGTATCTATATTGATGTACAACAGAGCGTGTGCAACCAGATAGAGACCAAACGTGCATCGTTACTTCGGCAGAATACACTGCGGTTTGGTCTCCTGATGGCAAGCAGTCGTGAGAGAGAGAACCAGGCGGCACTGCAGGTCGAATCTCCACGGGCTACGCGGTGACTATCACGATCTCTTACGAGCTGATTATGCTAGTCATATCATCATCATCATCATTATACATGTCAGCTAGAGATGGTAAAACACCTCCGCTATTGTACCGCAATACATAAAAGAAATACATACATACATACAATACATAAAGGAAAAATAAATACGACAGTTGAATGCCAACTGAGCTACCAGCAACGGATAGGCATCGTTCCGGTAAGCTACTAGCCGGCTACTAGGCAAAAACAAAAATTTAATTACGTTTTACCCTATGAGATAAGATCGTAGATGGAGGGGGAGGCTAAAGGGATGGGGAGGGACAAAGAAACTCACAGCAGGAACGCCACTGAGGTCGGCTCCTTGCCATATCAGCAAGTGTATCCAGCCAAACGTGTTCACCGTCTTTTGGACCCCAACCAGGGAGCCGTGAAGCTCCAACTGAGGCCAGCTCCGAAGTGAGGGCCTTCATTCCTCTGGACCAAGTCATCGCTTGGCCACCTCTCCTCTTCTTCCACCCACATCCCCGGTGAGCAAACAACGCACGTGGTGGAAGTCGGTGGGCTGGCATGCGCAACACGTGGCCCAGCCATCGGAGCCTGGTGAGTGAAATGACGGTGCTGAGCGGTTCATTCCCTTTTCCTGTGCCGTAAACAAGGCGTCGAACACGCTCGTTACTCACGCGGTGTTCCCACCCGATGTGAGCCAAACTGCGAAGGCACCGATGGTCGAACGTAAGTAGCCTCTTCACGTCCGCCGATCTTAGGGGCCAGGTTTCGCAACCGTACAGTAAGGTCGAACGTACCGCTGCATTGTACACTCTACCCTTCAGGGCGAGAGTAATGTCGCGCCGTCGCCATAGGTGGCGAAGGTTAGCAAAAGCACTTCGAGCTTTCGCTATGCGGTTCGTGATCTCGTCTTCGATCCCAAGGGCGCTGATACAACTTCCTAGGTAATTGAATTTCTGAACGACTTCTAGCTGATCCCCACCAAGGGTCAGCACAGGGGGCGAACCCTGCCAATCCTGGAGGAACGCTTTGCACTTCGGTGGTGCAAAGCAAAGCCCGAAGCGACTGACAGCCAGTGCTAATCTGTCCAGCGCGGCTTGACACGTCTGGGAGCTGTCACAGATGAGGGCAATGTCGTCTGCATACTCTAAGTCAAGAAGTCGTTCTCCTGGGAGTAGCTCCACACCTTCCAAGTCATGTCCTGTAAATGCAATCTCCATGACTTCGTCAATTGCGAAGTTGAATAGGAAAGGTGACAGCGGGCATCCTTGTCTCACACCGCTGGAGATATTAAAGGGTGGCGACAGCCTGCTGTAAGCCCTTACTCTGCCCGTGCTACGCGCATATAATGCCTGGATAATATTTACATATTTCTCGGGCACACCTTTCCTGAGTAGACAATTCCAAAGGGCACATCGATCAACCGAATCGAAGGCACCTTTGATGTCGAGGAACACGACTACGGTGGGCCGCCAATATGTGTGGCGATGCTCCAACAACTGACGCAAGGTGAAGATGTGGTCAATGCAGCCACGGCCCCGACGAAACCCGGCTTGCTCCTCACGAATCTGGCTTTCACGAGTGCCAGTCAGTCTGTGGAGAATTAGGGAGGCGAGTAATTTGGAGGCGATGGAGATCAGACTGATTCCTCTATGGTTGCCGCATTCCGAGCGCAAAACTCCTTTGAAGATGGGAACAATAACGGAGCGGCTCCAGTCGGTTGGGACAGTTTCCTGCTCCCACAGTTTCACTATTAATTCATGCAAAGCATCAACAAGAGCAGAGCCTCCAAATTTGAAGAGGGCTGGAGGAAGATCATCTGGTCCCGCGGCTTTGTTTAACTTCAATAGTCCGATCTCACGTTCGACTTCTGAGCGAGAGGGGGGATCCAAAGGGACAGCCCACGGAGCGGGGCGATCAGTGACCGGCGAATCGAACAATTCTTGCCGATTAAATTGCTTTCCAAAATGCTCAGCCCAACGCTCCAGACGTTTTGACAAATTGTGGATAGGCTGTCCACTCTCGTCACGTATAGTTTCACTAACACCAGGTCTCCTGCTGCCCGTTTCCCGTATCAGACGGAATAACTTACGATGGTTGCCAACGGCAGCGGCCACTTCCATCTCTGACGCACGATGAGACCACCAAGATTCGCGGTCTCTCTTCAGGCTAGCACGGAGTTTTGCCCGGAGCTCTTTGCGAGTTTCATTGTGTTCGCTTCCAGCCGGGATTTGCCGGCGAGCATCGATAAGTTCCAGAGACTGCGAAGAGACCCAATGTCCATGTTGTCTATTAGACATACCACATGAGGATTTTCCTGCTGCTAGTAAGGTCTGGCGAACATGTGACCAGTGATCATCAATTGTCTCCTGTGGGCGCTTGCTCAACTCGCATGTTAGCGTACTTCGATACGCATTCAGAACAGCTGGTTTTGTCAGTTGGCTGGTGTCAATACGCTCACAGCGTCGTCGTGGGCGTCCGCCAAAACGCATCCGCATGTCAGCACATACAAGTGCATGATCGGTGTCCACACATGTGCTCCAAATCGAGCGACAATTCTGGATGCAGCCTCTCCAGCGGTAACTTATCGCAATGTGATCGATCTGCGTGCAAGGCTGGTTCGAGGTTGGTGGGCGCCAAGTCACCCTTCGGCGGGTGCTGTGTCGGGAATTAGTGCTCGCAAGAAATAAGCGAGCATCTTCACACAAATGAAGTAACCGCTCACCGTTATCATTACGGGAGCCTACACCGTGTTGACCGCCCAGATGCATTTCATCAGTGGACAACTTTCCAACTTGTGCGTTCATATCCCCCGCCAGCACAACAGTGTCCGTGCTTCTTCTGTGGCGAAGGAGCTCGTTCAGTTGGCCGTAGAAGTCGTTCTTTACCGAATCATCGCTACAGTTTGTGGGCGCATAGGCAGCGATGATGAATAGACATCTATTAGTCCCGCGCGACTTCGACGCTTTAAACGAGCCAGCCAATCGGACCGCACACATCCGGCTACTGATTGGAATCCAATCAACCAGAGCAGCTTCAGCCAGGGGACTCAGGGCAATACCAACACCGGCTTGGCCGGTGCTCGAAGCTGCATCGTCACGGGGTGGGCGCAATGAGAAAGTGCTGCTAGTGTCCCCTGAAGGGGATCGCAGAGTGAGCACAGTGCTCGAGTCTTGCAGGCGAGTCTCTGATAAGCAGCAGATATCGATCGAGAGGGTCTCCAATGTTCGGGCAAGTGCTGCCTGTTGACCGATTTGTAGCAGTGTGCGTACATTGAGGCATGCCAATCTGAAGGAGGATCGAGGGCTCCAAATGGAAGCCGATGAACTGGATTGGACCGCTTGGTTGGACATGGGCTTGCCGACAGGAGAGGAGTGACGCTCCGCGTTCACGTGTGATTTGAAATTAGAAGGTAAATGCCTAGCAAAGCATGTTGGGGGAGGGCCAAAAATCGGAGGGTTGAAAACTGGGGGGATATAAGTGAAGTTGGAATGGGACGGTAAGAGTGAAAAAGCGTAAGAGGGGGAATAAGAAGACGGGAAGGCTTGAGCAGTAGCATCCAAATTCCTATCCACCCTGCTCGATGCAGCAGATAGGGCACCGTTTATTATCCTCTGCGGTGGCCAGAGCATCAAGAAATTGTTTGAAGGAAAATTCATGGTATTGCGTGGGCAGGATACTGTCAGGTTGCCCAGGCCTAGACAGGAGAACGATTAGGGTTCTCAACCAAAGCCTTTGGTTCAAAAACCTGACCGCAAGGCAGCGGGTTTGGCGTTGGGCTACAAGGAGTCCATTTTAAGGAATAAGGTGCCACCCTCATTCCAACCCCCAACCTGGAGGACCAGGAGGCTGAGTTTGTCTGGCCTCTAACCATTGACCAATCTGGTATGAGTGACTCTGAAGGTGCAAAAGCACCACCCAGCGTAGCTCAATGGATCGCTGAGGCATACAAACCATCGCACCACGGTAAGGTCCAGCCTCATTGCGATGGATGCTAGTCATATGCAGACGCACAACTCTCCTCGGAGAGTTGAATTGCAGCTACCTTGACTTGAGACCCCACAAAAACAGAGGGTAGCAGGGGCAAAAATAGACGGTGAGAAAGTGAACAAAAATCTGCAAACATACTTAAGGTAAGGACAATTTAATGCAAGGACTATAAATCGGGAAAAAGGGACTGGGTGCAATGACAATGCTGAGTTCATGATAGCGCCATGTTGCAAAATATCTTAAACTGCGAGCGTAAATGAACCTAAGGCCTCCGTTCAGGAAGACGGTATAGTATGTCGACTAATACCGGATACTTACTATCAAGCCGAGCATATACTTTGCAAACCATTCAACCCGGGGTATGTGGCTGGCCGGAAAAGTAGGAACATGGCTTTGTCAGACAGGCATTGCAAACTTAAAGACTCAGTGCGACTGCATGGAGTTAGTCACCAAAAACCAAGGACTTGGATGTCTTTCGGTTACCGTTCTCATCAGATGAGTAGTGGATTCCCGAATCGAGTGTGAACCACGAAGAAACCAAAAACCAACAGTATGCCAGCACATAGATGCGCAGACATTCCAATTCATGGAAATCCGAAAGAACGTAAAATCTTCTGAGCGAGATTAACACATGCGAGAAAACGAACTGGATGAATATCGTTAGGAGGAACTTAAAGTTCTTTCCGTAAAATTCATGCATCAAGTAGCACCTCTACTCCTTTTCGGCTCAACCATACAGGCATTGAAATCTAATGTTAGCATCTGATCTAGTCGTTACACTGACAAAAGTTCCCTAAGAAAACCGTTATGTTTGACCTGATTGCGCGGTACTTTGGCGATTGACTTATGATTTTCGTTGCACGTGACAGTTTAAAGGATGCAAGCTTGTTCTGTACCAGATTGGTCCAGAATTGGGAACATTTATCAACATGCTTGCCGACACACTATCCTCTTCAGTAGAGACCCTTGCTTTAGACGAAAAATGGGTCGGTGATTGACTTATACAAAGGAATGGCTAGGTTAATATGTTAGGGGAAACCATGGGTGATGACCATGTAATCAGGGTTTGATTGTTCAATAAAAGGGCACGGCGAAGTTAGTGATTGAACAGACCATGCCAAGTCAGCGCAAAAGGTTACCGGTGTTCTTGCTCGGTGCCATCGATTAGTTCTTGGAACCCATTTCAAAAGGAGAATTTCAACATCTTTTTGCATTTTGCAAACTACAGATCACTCATGGCACTATTTTTATGCTGTTCGGTATCGGTGACTTGCATAGAGTATCTTGAGGCATTCCAGAGCGAGGGCGCACTCGTTCATCTGAGTTATCCGATTCACGCTTATGGAGAGAAGTTAACCCAACAGATGTACATTTGACATGTGACCATTGCCCATATCTGCCTGCCTGTTACATCATGTACATCATGATTTTGCAAATAAGCAATTCCGTCTTTAGTTCTCGGTGTCGTCCTTATCACTGAGACAATACTACCTGCGATACGGTAGTTTGCTATTCTGATCAAAGTTATTCCGAAACAAAGTACATGACGCCAGAAGGTCTGCAGTATATAGCACATGTACTGGGAACACACAAACAAACTGCGTGCGCTGTGAAGACGGAAAGTATAACGTTTTCATCGTGACAGCTTGATAGAAGACCGACAACTGATATTGTTATGAAACATCTCAAAGGGAAGTGGAAGCGCTGTCATTGAAGTCAAAGTTTAGGTGTGGTATTACGTCAGGGCAATATAAAGAGTAAATTCATTGCGGAATTGCACAATCCAGAACAGGGCCCAACAAATCACCCGTCATAGGCTGTTGCATCCGATAACGGTGATCGCTTTGCCTTCCGGTTTGACCATTGCGAACAACGTCACTGCCAAGATTGGTTCCAGAGAAACCTATTCTTCTTGTGACGAAAGCCTTGTGGATATACCTGACACATATACGCTGCATGCAGTTCCCAAAATAGTGTCACGCCAAAGAATAACCAAAAACGTTCATAGTACATGCATGGAAACATTTCCAACTGAAGCACAAGTGTTCTTATACAATGATGTACTAGTCTATCAATGTGCCATTGGAAGTATGGAGAAAAAGAGGTCAGCCAAGGCAATATTATTGATAACGATACATTTGCGATTACCACAGACGACCAGCATTTTGTCTAGATGTTGTGTTTCAGGGCCTTGTATAGATGCTCTGATGCCATGTAGCGGTAATCGCTTTGGTGACGCCGAAAGGGAGGAATCCAGCGTGAAACACAAATTCTTTAAACTAGCATTCTTACTTCTGGTGTCTACCCTTTGCCAAGAGCAGTCACTGAGAATAAATGTCGTATGAACATAGGGCGGTGTCCAGAGGATAACTTGAATGAAATGTTCACTGCACCGAGGCCAAAGCAATCTTACTATGCAAACAGATAAACACCAGACAGACTTAAAATAAGCAGTCGAGTTAGGAGACCGTTATAATCATGACACATACGGCGGTCATGATCCATGACACACAAGGTCTAGAGCCATGCAGAAGAGGGATCCTGGTCTGGCAGGAAAATAGATCAACAATGTCAAAACAAGCAATGAATCTTGTAATTTTTATTACCCGTGCTAATGATTGACCCTATCACACCTTGCGTCATCCTAAATGTGGCTAACAAACGAAACTGTCTCTGGTTAGCAAGGAGCGGGCACAAGTGCCACGAATCCGAATCAGTCTTGTTTGTTTATCTGAAGAACTAACCTGGGCAGTGTCCCCTGATATTCACTTACGCGAATGAACTGTGCCGTATGTGGCTATACAAAAACAGATCGATACGCCATCTACTTACACCAGCCGATCGCCTTTGGGAGGAGGAACGCCAGCCTAACTGATAGTCATATCGGGATAACAAACCATGAGCACAAAAAAGGTATACCTATATTAGAAAATGGTTGGAGTTTTTTCAAGAAATACTAAGTTTGTGTGGAACTGCAGCATGTTTGTGTGGAAGCTAGCTCCCCGGATAGTTTATCAGTAATTTCAAGGTGAAATCGCATCCGAATACTACTCTGAATTGAAATAATAAAGTTGAGTAGGTTTGCAGTTGTTCACCAAAAGAATTCGGTTCTAGAACAGGGCTTTACAAACAGGAATGTTATGAATAGAATCCATGTACAAGAAGCCTCCAGAGGTGAGAAATAGGATAGCATTGGTAGTAGCAGGTTACTGAACCAGTAGATGTATCTGAAGTGAAATGGATGCAACTCCTCAAGGTAGATGCAAGAATGCATCAGGCACGAGAGCGTACATGGTCTGCAGCGAAGTGGATGCAATGGATTAAAACAACTAATCAAAGCGACCAGCATGTCGGATCCTATTTAGACTGAAAGCTCGGAATAGCCTGGTCTGCTATGTACTCTTCCCCTGAATAGAGGACTGATTCCGCATCAGTAGAGTGGTATTCATATAGTCGACTTGTGTCTGATTAATTGACGGTTAAATGCGAAACCTAGCTTAATATATCCAGGTCTCAGCAACTACTAACATCTATTTGTTTACATGCGCCAACGCATTTAGTGACCAAGGTAAAAGAGCAAAGCTCTTTCCTTCTCGTGACTCAAAAGCAAGGTCCTCAGCAATTAGATGAAAGTGGGCATGAAAGTGTTTTGGATTTCCGTCGTGTAAAGCGATAGATAATCAAGGTATACCTCATTAAGCGCGTAGTTGTATGTGGTAAGCTTGCTCACCTTTTGAAGTGGAGTCGTTTTCGGACGCCCGACGCATCCGTGGCTAACGCCGAAGGACAGAACTGCATGTTTAAGGTATTCTTGGCACGTGTCATTGGAAGGTTTTGCGGAGAGTTCGGCATCCCCATCAACACCATCGGCACATTGTACCAAATTTTTGTGTTCACTAAAATATGAGAAAACCGTAAAAAGTATTTCCACCATTTTTCCAGGTTACTCAGAACGTTGCTTTATGAAAAGTATGCAGGTAGTTAGACGTGTTCTGAGATACGATTTTAGATTCGCGTACAAACGTGAGAAACCAATCATTTTTGGAGAGTTATCCCAACATGAGAACAGTGTAGGACGTAAACACGCCATACATACTAAACCAATTCTTATCCCAGAATGACTTATTTACGATTGACAAGTTAGGGACACAATGCAAAGCCGATTGAGGAATTTGCTTAGACAAAACGAAGTTAATTAAAGTTAGCATCTTGTTTAGGAAAGTAACAAGAAGAAAATGTGCTCAGGGAAGTAAAAATTGGGTGATAATAGGACCAAGCAGGGTCAGTCTCCTTCTCATCGAAGAAATAATTGCATATTTTTCAATGCAACCTTGTCATCAATGCCGTACATTCATCGTAAAAGCGTTGGGGGCTCTCAGTTAACAGCTGGAACTGGGCTAAGGTAGTAAACGCCCTTTCTACATAATACTCCCAGTAATGTTTCTAACAGGTGCTGTAAGTCACGTAACATACAGTTTGATTACATCACAAGTAGCACCTCTTTTACTTATCCATAGTGAGTTTCGCAATTTGAATTTTAACATTTTTTAATGCATGGTACTGAATAGCTGCCAGTGATATAGGTATCGAAGAATGATGCACATTCGGTTCATTGTACAGTGTCCTACCAAAACTTTGCCATCAAGTATAGTGCAGGCAACAAACCATACGCACTGAGCCTTATGCCTATGAATGAGGAATTTGTGATAGACCAGCCAGCATGGAAACTTACTTCATGGCATCGTGCGTTATGCTAAGTACCCTGAGGTGCACATAGTGAACCGAAGGGTACCACAACACGTTTTAGTATTCCCATAAGTGGAACTTTTGATTAGGTGGCTTTTTTGAGAGCGAATCAATGCAGTTTGTCAACGTAGCTTCTAGCTGATCGCGGTAGTTTCAATCATCTTCCTTTATCAGATGCAAATCACGAAAATTCATGGCGTCAAGGGATTAGCAACGAGTGTTCTTGAACAAAATGGTTACCCGGACAAATTCATCCGGAGACATATGAAAGCCACGAGAGCCAAAAGTCCAATCCGGTTCCGCAGAAAAGCGGTTAATTTACTTCTCATTACCTTTCAAGCACGTTGCGCTAACGGAACGAGTCACTCGAAAGCTCTCCAACGCCACCGCGAGAACCTACTTTGCAGCTGAGCTAGTGTGTCCGCTTCATTTCAAAACCAGTCGTGAGTCAACAACTCAAAGACAGAATACCTGAGTCGAATATTTCCTTCCGTGTGTACCAGTTTTCTTAATCCTGTCGAGCAAGCTATATTGCAAAGACAACCAGGGTGTAGCAAGCGCGGTGCTTTGGCACTTGACCGACTCCAGTTACCAAAACAACGTAAGAGAAAGCCTTATCAGATTTACAGCTAAAATCCTGCTACTAATGAGTACTATAAAATCAAAAGCCTCTCCTAGTTTCAAATGCTGTATATATAGCGTCTAGTGAGAGGACGTCATCACCTTGCAGGCTAACCACTGTCAGTGACAGTGGTAGATAGGTGGTGCTATATCCCAGCTAGTTTGCAAATTATGTAGCCCAGCCAACGTCCCCCATGGCTCAGTGGCTTAAGCTGCTGGCTAGTTGGCATCTGCCTCCAGCGGTCATGGGTTTGATCCTCCTTAGAGGAACGAGGGAATACGCGCCACTGACGAGCCCCAATAGGGCGAAACGCGTCTGGCGCTTTTCCGGACTAGGCTCTGCTATGTAGCTTGTGAACTGTTGGGATGTCGCTTATTAGAGACATCGGGGGAGATCGCTATTTGGCTCCAACTTATGCGCCCAAAAAAGGTTTGTCAGGCTCTTCATTTAGCGTTTAACCCCACCATTAATGTTGCCCCAACCAATGCCATCATTTAACCTCATTGACCGGGTAATTCGCTTTACTATTTAATCTTATTTAAATGTCTGCTTGTGGTCGAGTGCTCTGCACGCCTGGTTTGCAACCAGGTTCACCGGTTCCATTACGCTTACGGGTGGGCTTCCTCGCGACATACTCAGCCCGCGCGGGATTGGTGGTGATCGCGTGGTAGCGATACGCGGTTAAGGCGTGCGACTGGGAATTTAGTTTAGATTACTTTTGTATTTAAATACCCTGTGTTAATTGTATTCCCATTCGTTGTGGTGCAACAACCTGAGGAAATCAATGGAAAACCAGCTTGACCACCCAGTTGTCTTTTTGTCTGATAGCTTGTATTGTTCGTGAAATATAGGCGATTGGAATGCTGCCTGGAATTTCTTCTCTTCTTGTGTGTAAGCCACGGACGACTATCCTTGAATAAAAAGCTTTCAGCCGCAATATCATCGTACGAAAAACGTCATAATTTTACTCCAACACAACTACGTTAAGAAATATAACGCACGTACCTCAGTGTAGGTATAGCTTGACAAACGACACCTTCATCAGCACTCTCCAGCATAAACCACTCCAGACGATTTCTTTTATGTATACTTTTATTGCTGATCAATTGTACATGGTTCTTGCTGATTTTAACCCCGCCTATACTACGTCCATGTTGGCCTACAGCCGACTTAACACTAGTCTGCTCCCTAAGTTACTGTGTGGATGTTCGTTCCTGTCTCGCTTCTTCCGTCCACGTCATCTTGTAAACTCTCGAACACAATCCGCCGTGTTCGATTTAGTGTACCTTTTGATATCCGCATTTGATTCCGCGCATCGTCTCTGACCAGTATGTATTAATCCTATAAATCGGTGACCCCGATTCGCACGCGCAAATCTGCCATCTTTTCGTCGTGTATTTTTTCGGTAGTTGGTTCCTGTTTCTCGATCTTACACACAATTATTTGATTCTTGCTTAACTTAGTAATTTCATCAGTGTTGTCTATTTGCTGCCTTCACACTGTACATATCCCGCAGGTAGCATCTGTGTCGTTTCACAGAAAAGGCATGGTAACTAGCTGTTCCTTATTTCATGGAACACAGCCTAAATATTTATTTGTTTTTTACAAGATGGAGCTCGAAAATAGGGGCATCCAGACGCACCGATCAAGGTATACCCATCGATGGTGACGCTGATGCAGGATATACTACTTTGCCCACCGATGAAGGCAAAGTATGAAGCGAAGAAAGGAGTCCCAGCCGAGCTCACGGGCTAGATTTGAATAGCTCAATGATTACAAGCTATTTACTCGCAAACCGTCGACTTAGTTCCGCGATATTAAGCGCGTTGCCCATATACTTGAGTGAAGAAGGGGTAAGGGGGCCATGGCTTTCATATCGCCCAAAGCCATTGACAGAACTGCTGTCCATGTTTTAGATAAGCCTTGAAAGAAATACCTAAGACATCAGACGCTACATTTGAACACCTTCCGCCGCAGACAAGAAGTGGTGTCGGCAGCGTACTCGTAGAGATGAAAAACGAGTGTCACACTTCCTCCGAGTCGCCAAACCCAACTGACTATAATAAGAAAATTGCATCACTTCGCAATAGCAGGATAGCATGTAAGTCTTCGAAGCAGGGCACGCCATGTTCGAAGGCTGACCATGTTTCGTCTACTGTTCATTGCAGTGCGTCCATACCTCCGCCGAGTACCTCTCGTTCGACACGAAGACGCAATATTTCAGCCACACGTTCTGAGTCCGACAGAACCGAGGCCATCGACGATTTGTGTGGGTATAACCGCCAATATGGTGATAAAGCGAGGCGTTGCCGGCCTTCCTGCATTATGAATAATGGCAAATAAAACTCTAGATGTACGCCGTAACAGCGATTCGCTGCCGCGGGACTACCACTCGTCGCGCGTAGGCTGAGTAAACCACAGGGACGCCCGCCCCTACGCGGATTCGAACCGGCGACCTTATGATTGCAATCCAGGCGTGCAGACCACTCGGCCACCGGCCAACTCTGCAGTCTAAGAGAAACCGAACAGTTCTTTTGCTAGCACAAGCAACGCGTCGATCAGTACCAAAATAGATCGCCTGTTGTAGGTCATGGATGAACGTACTTGCGTCAATTTCCTCATCGACACGGGAGAGGAAGTGAACGGCCTTCCTGCCAACGCATATGGGAAGCATATCAAGCCAACGTACAACCTGTGTGTAACCAATGGCTCGCCCCAAAGATTTTCAGTGGATTTCCACGGTTGCATCCGTACCCTTCGCACTTTAGACCGTTGGTTGATGCTAGTCGCCACAGATTCGTAGACGACCGTACAAAACTATGGATTGAAGGTGTTATTTCAAATGCCCCGATGCTAAGTCTCATTTTCCGAATCGCCGATACACCATCAGACTATGCAATTCTACTCACCGAGCACCCGCGATTGTACGGTCGGCTGCAGTCTCCACCGGTAACGACAGAGATCGCTCATCACAGGGTCATGCGCGGCCCGCCAACGAGTGTCAGACCGAGACAATTCGCCTCAGACAAGCCCCGTGCCGCACGAGGTGAGTTCGACCATATGTTTCAGCTCGGTATCGTCAGACTGTCTAACAGCCCATGGGCGTCACCTCACCACATCGTCCCAAAGGTCATGAGAGACTGGCGTTATTTTGGCAAATATCGCGCCTTGAACTAGGCTACCACGACCGATCGCTATCCGATCGCACATATCGTGGATCGCACCGCCATCTGGCAGGTAATAAATTTGTTAGGGAAATCGACTTGGTACAACAAAATTCCGGTAGCAGAGGCGAGCATCGCTTAAACTGCTGTGACGACTCCGTTTGGTTTCTTTGAATTTATGTGCATGCCAGTTGGTTGTAAGAATACCGCAAAAGCATTTCAGGAACCCTTCGACCAAGTTTATCTTGGCTTAGACTTAGCCTACGTGTATCTCGACGATATCCTAATCGTGGTGTTCCCAAGCGAAGAGCACTAGCACCACAAGCGAACAGTTTGAACACTTATCCCAACATAGGGTGACCAGCAACGCAGAAAAGTGTTCGTTTGGTGTCGATTCCGTTAGTTTTCTTGGCCATCATACCTCACCTGCATGCATCGTGCCATTACAGGATAAAATTAAGGCCATCATCGACTGTCCCTAGTCTCACTCCTTCAAATAACTAAAAAGCTTTGGCGCCCTCGACAATTTGTATCACCGTTTCACAACTAGTTGTGCGTCACAAATAAAGCCCCCCAGGAACGTTCTCCGAGAGAAAGGTAAGAAATTCAAATCTCCTGCTGCAGCAGGAACTGCACTTACAACTTTGAAAACAGGCTATCACTCTTAGTTCCAATTTGGAATCGGTAGGAGCTTCTCAACTCTATGGTTGGGTTCAAAACACGATGAAGACATTTGGCTGGATACACTTGTTGACATGGCTAGGAACCGATCACAGTGCTGTTTGTGTAGAGTTTCTTTGTTCCTTCCCTCCCATTTGGTCTCTCTATAGTCACTACTTTATTTCTTGCGCATAACATATTTTCCGGCCCAATAACCGGCTACTGGCTCTCTGGAACGATGTCCATGCATTAACTCTGGTTCATCTGCCGTACCCCTGCTGCATTTATTTAGTTATTTTCTGTATTTTGGTAACATAGATGAGGTGTTTTCAACCTCTAAGTAACGGTATAAGTATGATGATGATGACGTGCACAACGCCGTCGTTGATTTACTTTCTCGAATTCGAGCGATCTCCGCTGACGGAAGCACTGTTATTGACCTGGCAGCCCTGGCCGTCGTGACCACTGTAACATGCTTGTCCGTGAGGGCAGGTTGACTCACCAACAATATTTGGCCTGCAAATTTGTCTTCAACAAAAAGCTCCTATACAAGTATCTTACCATCCAGAAAGTGAAGCTCGGTATCCCCCCACTTAACACGCCAGTCGGAGTGACACAGAGTGCCGATGAGGCAGTCAACCTCCTACGAATGCAGTATGCCCCAACCTTCCAAAGAGACGTTCGCCAGAGTTACATCTCCACACTCAATAACATCGATTTTACTGCCACAGCTGTGTTGAAGAAACTGCTCTCATTACACACCTACAACTCTCCCGGAACCGAGTATATTCACCCGAGGGCGTTGAAGGTATCAGCAATGACGCTGGCCCGGTCACTTTCGCATTTCTTTCAAACGTGCTTGGATAAGCAAGCCGTGTCTACCATGTAGAACCATGGCTTAATCACACCAATTTTTAAAAGCAGGAGTCGGCCGGGACCAGTCAACGAACACCCAGTGGTCCTCCTCCCTGTGCTCTCAAGGGTGATGGAGGCAATCATCGCTGATGCTTTAGTAGATCAACTAGAACGCCACAACATCATAGCACACGAGCAACACGGTTTCCGCCAACACCGTTCATGCCCTACCAACCTACTAGTTGCACGCAGTAGTTGAACGGAAGCGGCCGATATAGGTGGAAGGACAGACGTCATTTACCTCAACTTCTCCAAAGCCTTCGACCGACTGGACCACCGCATTCCGCTTCACATCCTCGAAAACTATTGAGTTGATGATCCTATCCTTGGGTGGATACGGAGTTTCCTGCAGGATCGACAAATGAAGCACAGAGTTCGAAGTGCGCTGACAGATAAGATTTATGTCGAACGTGGAGTCCCACAAAGATCAGATCTGGGGACGTGTCTGTTTCTCGTGTGCAGTAACGAGCTTACGCATTTGATTGACTCGAATTTCTCGCTGTTCACTGATGATGTTAAGATGTGGCGGACAATCTCTGACCTATCAGGTCACGATGCACTTCAGCGAGGCCTGGAGAGAGCGTATGAATGGTCACTCCACAATCTGCTCCAGTTCAATTTGGGAAGTGTAAGGCTGTTCACATTCGCCACCAGCCGAACATCACATACACACTTGGAGATCAGGTCCTGCAAGAAGTCACCCAGGAGCGCGACGTTGGGGTACTAGTTCAGGCAGACCTGAGCTGCTCAGAGCAATCTGAGAAGGTGGCAAAAACCGGGAACCAACACGTTGGGATGCTGCGGAGGGCATTTGGGCAGTTTGATCTGTCTGTCTGTTCGCAGTTGTTTAATACCTACGTACCGTCTCATGTGGATTACGCAATCCAGGCCCAGTAGCACTGTCACAAGCAAGACCTTGCGGCATGCGAGACTCCACAGCAACGAACTACGAAGCAAGTCAAAGGGCTGTTCAATCATTTTTATCAACTTCGACTGAGGTCCCCAAAATTATACAGCGGTCAGTACCAGCGCCTACTTGGCGACCTTATTATGGCATACTAGACTCTAAGGAACCCCAACCACGTCTGCCGACACCCACTACAATTAAGCCACAATACAAATTTGAGGAGACACCAGTTCAAGTTGGCCACACAATACAGTCGGCTGGAATATTGACACAAGTTTCACTCTTTTCGTGTGTGCCACCCATGGAATGCCCTCCCAAATTACGTTGCTTTTGCCCCCACTTTACCTGCGTTTAAAAAACGCTCTGATGTTGCCCTAACGCACCTACATTACGATATATAGCCTGTTTGTCTCGAAAGACGATATAATGCGACGAAAGTTGCAGAAGCAGAATTAACCATCACGGATAAGGTCGGCCGTTTCTGTATGCCTGTATGTTAATACTGTGGTGAGTTTACAAAAACCATTTTTATTTTATAACTGTTTTCGATTCACCATGATATGGCTCTCTTTCTGGCCATCCTACAAGACTTGCTAAGCAACCACCTTTTTGCTCGTAATATACCGAAGTTCCATTGCACCACCGTACTACACAGGTCTAACTCACTTGATATCCGACCTGTTTCGTCAACACCATCAGACGGAAGCACTCTTCGCAACACATCTGGGCACACCGCGCCCAGTTGCACCATGCGAATTTCAGTAAATCGTGTTCGACACATTACACGGTTTGTCTCAACCAGGCGTTCGTTTATCGGATAAACTTGTAACCGGCGGTTGGTCTGGCGAAATGTCAATCACGACGTTCGTAATAGGACTGCTGCTTTTGACCACTTGTAATTCATTCGACCCTGTCAAAATGTTCACAATGTTGTTAGGACATGTCAACATTCGCTTCTTGCGTTTTTTCCGAGGCTGCTGCGATCAGGCGGATCAAACCGGCCCTGTGTGCAAGAAACAGCTGTTCGTGAAACCAAGGCGCCCATGGACGTAGGGTTAGCACATCTATCCTGCACCCCGTCTCTATCTTATGTGGTCATTTATATCTTATTAGTGTATTCTCATTGATCAGAGAGTAGAAAAGGTTACTATCTGCCAGTTGATTGTTTTATCACCCGGTCGTTTAAACTGCTAAAGGAAAATACTGTTTCATAACAGGTTGTTCGGCGAAGACACGAACCTGGTATTGAATCGCCGACAGATATCCCAGTGTGCCTGCTCCAAGGCGCGAGCCTTCAAAAACCGATTTCTCAGCCACTGTTTGTGGGTTATTTTTGTTACTGTGTTCTCTTGTCGTCTGGCGTATACGCTGTCCTTCTCGTGAATAAAGGAAAATGTTGCACCAATCGCGTCATACACCTAAACAGGAAAACAAGACAATCGCGTCAAACAACCATAGATTCAGAGGATAAAAGGTGCAGAAGATAGTGAAAGGTTCGAGTATATAACCGATACGTGTGTACTTCCATGATGCTTTTGTGCAACGGTACTCCACTTGCTTACCTGCAACTGTCTACGTCGAAGCTATCTTTCTAGGTGAAGACAGGGCGTGTCCAACTGCTCCCACCGCATGTCAAAACGAAGCAAATGTCTCGTAAATACGAATATTCGAGAGTGGACATTGTTCGATCCCAGATCATTTTATATCAACAAGTATTAGCAAGCTACGATGCAATTAATAGCCGCAAGACTGAATGTCGTAATTGGTTCGGACAGTGGGAAACGTTGTGGTATTGTGAGCCTAAGTTCCACCACAGTTTAAAATAACGGAGATCGAAGAAAGCCTTTCTCAATTATACCCACATCCAAGTGCTATTAGCAAGCACAAGATAGTTAGAAGATCAAAATGAAACAAACAGGTGAAACCTTCCGTCCTGAGCAGCGCCGATGGCTGAAGCTATATGAATTCGGCGCAGCACCTAAGTGCACACGTTTGAATTGCTTTGCCAAAAGAAATAACGTCCTGCGCTCAAACGGACCATACTACTGTTGGCCGCATGCGAGTGTAAAATGTACATCACTGTGCCGTACGTGTTTGTGTGCAGTTGTTCGGCTGCAGTCAAACACGCGCGCTGTACTGCTCAACCAGTCGATCGATATTGGCCCTGTCTGAGCAGGAGCCTGTAACTGAAACTGAACGCAAATAATGGGCAGAATAAGAGGGCACAAACTATTCCACAGTCACCTTGATGAACATTCTGTTGGAACAATATAGGGATGGTTGGACAGCGTGCAGATCTCTGTGTCGGACGATGTTATATAGATGCGGAACCGTCTCAAAAGCGATAAAATTGTGAGCGTGAGTTTGGGCACCGGAGCGGTTTAAAACAGCTGGCAGTTTGGTAACATGAATTGTGGAAAATAATTCAACATGTTATAGTTTACTGTATGGAGCTAGTAAATTCGATTCAAAGGAGTGCGAGGCGGGAGGAGCAACTCTGTAAGAAAGAAGAGCGCGAGAACGACGGTGTCAACCAAACCGTCGGTACGATAAATGTCTTGCTGCTGAGTGATTGTCCATCACACGTCAAGATTTCGCTAATTCTTCATCATGTTTGGGTAGCGGATGTGGCACCGCTGAAAAAGCGGCATTGACTTGCTGGTGGTCTCGATTTCAAGGACTCTCAATGTAACGACTCGGCCCGTTCATCCGAGATCGCACTTCGCAAGGAGCAACTCATCTTAAGTTTGACGCATAGGGTTTGTGCGCTGTATAATTCCCTCCGATATCGTTCATCAGCTGAATCATATGGACGTTGGTGTGTATCAACCAACTACGTGTGACTGTTCTACTAAGCTCTACATTGAGTCACAAAGTCATGTGCCTTGGCTTGGCCTTCCTTCTCTATGGTTGACTGTGCAGAAAAAGTTTGCTTCTTCCGTCGTCTGGATGCCGTTACTTGCTAGACCTTGCCCAACATCCGCAACTTCGTATCAAGGAAATAGATCCACATCAGCAACATTTGTGGAGTACCTGAAATTAGAATGTTTTAATAAACATCATGGCATTTTCAGCTAAATGAGACTGTATGATCTTCCTCAGCGTCAATGCATATATTCATCTTGATTGATTAACATGCCACCGTTATTTTCTACCTATAAGACACTGACAGCCTCGGTAGACCGTCAAAATACTGGACCTATCGCCTAGTTTAGGAGTTCTAATGCGGGTATTTCACCTACTTCCTAGGCTATAGCACAACGAAAGATGGTGGAACGTTCGTGACCAGAGTGTAAAACCAATGTGACTGAAGGAGCGCTTGGGCACCATCTGTTTAACATTATCTAACCGTTTGCTATATATATATATATATATCACGAAAAACATTGAACAAAACCCGAAAAACCCAAGTGCGAGACACGAGATTCAGTCTAGACCTAACATCATCATCATTTTACACGTTAGCTGCAGGTGGAAAGCACCTCAACTATTGTGCCGCAATACAAAAGTCGAAGAAGAAATAAAAAAACGACAAAGACACACAGGCTGAGCCCCTAGTAACAAATGGGCATCGTTCCGGCGAGCTAACAGCCGGCTATCATGCCGCAAAAAGAATTAGATTATGTCTAACAAATGAGATCATGATTGGAAGGGGGGACTAAGCAAAAGGGGGCTGGACAAAGGAAGTTACAACACAAACCCCATTGGGGCCTGCTCTTCGCCATATCAGCAAGTGTGTCCAACCAAACGTGTTCATCGTCCTTAGGACCCAAGCCAGGAAGTCGGGATGCACCAACCGACGCCAACTTCGAAGTGAGGGTTTTCATTTCTCTCGACCAAGTCATCGCTTGGCATCCCCCCTCTCTTCCAACCGCATTGCAGGGCGCGCAGACAATGCACGTCGCGGAAGTCGGTGTGCTGGCATGCGCAACACGTAACCAAGCCATCGGAGTCTGGTGCGTGATATTATGGTGCTGAGCTGTTCACCAGCTCTTCCTGCACCAAATACGCGACGCCGAACACGCTCATTGCTTATGCGGTGCTCCCACCAGACAAGAGCAAGCCGCGGAGGCAGCGATGATCGAACGTGGTCAGCCTCTTTATGTCTGTAGACCTGATGGGCCAGGTTTCACAATCGAATAAGATGGTTGGACTGACGGACGGTTGCATTATAAACTCTGCCCTTCAGGGCGAGAGTGATGTCGCGTCAGCGCCACAGGTGGCGGAGACTGGGAAAAGCACTTCGATCTTTTGCTATACGGTTCGTAATCTCAGCTTCGATCCCACGGGCACTAATACAGCTGCCCAGGTACTTGAATTCTTGAACGTCTTCTAGCTGATCATCACCAAGAGCCAGTGCACGGGTTGGTCCCTGCCAATGTTGCAGAGGTACTTTGCATTTCCATGAAGCAAAGCTTAGCCCTAAAACGATTGACAGTCAGTGCTAATCGGTCCAGTGCAGCCTGGCACGTTTGGGCGCTGTCACATATGAGGGCAATGTAACACAAGGATCCGTCTTCGGCCCGCTACTGTTTTTAGTCTACATTAATGACCTTCTAGCAGACATTCTATCTCCGATGCAAATATTTGCAGACGATGCTAAAATATGGAGAACTATTCGCTCAGGATCCGACCGTGCCTATCTCCAGGAAGATCTGACCCGGATTAACGAATGGGCAGAAAAGAACCAGCTCCCACTGAACCCTGCACAGTGCCACCTGCTAACGGTGCGCAGCAGCTTCGTCAACACATACCTTTTGGGGCAACACGTCCTGCAACACGTGACTAGTGAACGCGACCTAGGTATAATCGTGCAATAGAGTCTTAGCAATTCCCTCCAATGTTCGAAAGCAGCAAGTGTGGCGAACTTGAACTTGAGACTTTTGAGGCGAGCTCTCGGCACTTTTGAGCGATGGCTAGTGCCATTATTGATTAACTCTTACATTCGTCCTCTTGTTGAATGTGCAATTCAGGCCTGGTGTCCATGGTTAAAAAGAGATATCTGCCTATTGGAACAGCCCCAAAGAAGAGCCACAAAGGCAACGCGTGGACTTTCTGGTATAAGTTATGAACTGCGTATTCGTGTACTCGGTGTGTTCTCATTAGAATACCGACGGCTTCGCTGAGATCTTACTCTCGCATAACGGATACTAACCGAAAGCGAGCATCCATGTACATCACTGTTGACTCTAGCCCCTTACAAACAAAACCGAGGCAACCACCTGAAACTAATGACGCAACACTCTCGTTTGAATTGTAGAAAGTATTTTTTCTCACTTAGAATCTGTTCTCACTGGAATGCATAACCAAACTATGTGGTGAACGCACCAGACATGACGACATTCGAAAGACTCTTAAATTTTCATCTTAGTGATAAACGATACACAACACTTTGCTAAAGTGCAATGATTTAATCACTGATACTTTACGTTCCACGTTGGAACATTTTGATTTTAATTTTCCTTTGCATATCCATCGTGTGGGTCCTGTAAAGTTATGTTTTTTATCCCATCATACACCATCGAACCATTGAACCAGTTAGTTTTACAGTCAAAATGATGGACGTATCGTTTTTGATGCAGTAGCCCTGCACTCCGAGTGTTTCTATAGCTTCAATAGGCAGAAAAAAGTAAATCCAAGGTATTTCCCGGGAATAGGATGGAGATTAGTGTCAAATAAAAAATGTAAGTGGTGGAGTGCGACATCGCACCGACTTTTAAACATGGCTAGCGTGGGTACTGAAACAACCAATTTGAGGAGAGCGTTCCATATTTGACATATACGAATGAAAAAGAAGTTTCTAAGCACGCCATGCGGCTGTATTGTCTTGTTAATATCAAGGAGTGGCCTCGAAGTTTTCTCTTACTGCTGAGTTGCAGTAAAGAGCGGCACACATGATTTGGATTGTGTAAAATCAAGTGTGCCATAATCAAGTCGCCTCGCACTCGGAGACACCGCCCGCTGAATACTCCCAAAGGTTGTAGACTCTGCTCGTACGGAAGGTGGTGCATTCCAAAGACGTATTTAGAAGCTTGACGTTGAGGATGGTCCAGTGCAGTACGGTAGCGCTTCAGCAATGGATGCCAGGCTTGGACTGCGTATTCGACATGGGGGCGAACATATGCATTCAGTATCTGTCTGAAAATAGTGGTGTCTAGTTGTCCGAACACCCGTCGTAGCAAGCCGACGTGCTGATTACCGGTTTTCGAGGCCTTTGCAAATTGCCAGGAATAACCCAAGTTATCCTGAACAAGCACGCCAAGGTCGCGTTCGACGGAGGATCGCTGCAGTACTTGCGTTCCTAGATTGTAGGAATTGGTACTCTGGTGTCGTAGGGAGAGTACCTTTTACTGGTCCACGTTGAACTGTAACTGATTACGAGTCGACCAATCACGTACCGTATTTAGGTCACACTGAAGTAAGTACTGATCGGCATCCGCTTGAATCCGGTGCCATATCTTGATATCGTCAGCAAACACCAGGAAATTTGAAGCCATATTCCGTGCAAGGTCACTGATGAATGCCAAAAGCAACCGTGGACTTAGTACTGAGCCTTGGGGCATCCCAGACTCGACTGGTATGGGTTCAGTCTATATTATTGCTCGTTGAGCATGCAGGATGTCGAGTGCCCTATATGGAAAAATAACTTGCAAAAACAAAAACTTGATATTGTAGATTAGTAATATGTAATAGAAGTTGCAGTCCTTTGATCGATATTTAGAGAAAAGCATTTAAAAATACATTGGTAAAACAAGATTACTTCGCTACATTGACTTGACATCCTCAAAAACGGCAAGAGTGGCTTTCTTGATTGGGCTAAACCCAGCTATAGTTGCAGGTTAGTTGTTTGGCGGACGATCAGCTTCTGTCGTAACAAGCCTGCGTCACCAATGGTCACCGTGAGTTGGACATACCAGTTGAGGAATTAATGAACTAATTGTGATGTAAGTGTCCTGTTATGGTGAACAGATGGATCAAGGGATAGAGCCAATAGGAGACGGACATGAGGGATTTGTTCATTAGACACCCACTGGCTGTGTGTGATACGGTGGACTCCTTACCGTTAATTATACCGAGTCAAAAGAGGAATCTCATCTACGCCTAAAGTTCGTTGTTTATGTAAGTGCACGGATGATATAACTCGAGGAGTTCCGCGTGCCAAATATGCTATGATTTTCGCTGAGTTGACCTTGTCGAATAAACGCTTGTTCCTAAAGGAGTGACTTGGACATAAATACATGGTGATATAGTGAGTGGAAATACCTGCGACTGAATTGCTTCTTCTTGGTTCGGTAACTGGGTCAAGGATTCTAAAGTTACTTTCGCGATCAGATCCGGTACTCTGATTAAATTGTGGTACTCAGTGACCTCAGCTCGTTGATACATACGCCGTGACGGTGATGTCTGGACCATGCAGGCTGTGTCACTGAAATCGAACTCTTCTAGTTCCCTGCTCAATTTAAGACGTCCTGTTCTCTCAGAGAAGTTGGGATCTAACTCAGCGGAAGCCCAGAGCTCACCAGAACCACTGAAGGTATCCACATGCCGAAATAACCCGGTCATATTTCGATCCACGGTGTCTTCTAAGCTGCTGCAGGTAACGTGCTGAAGCTCACATGATCGATTTGATCTTTCCTATAGTAATATAAGAAAAATATTGCAAGATGAACAACAAAATGATTTCCACATGATAAGAGTGCTGATGACCTATATGGGAATGAGTTCCTTCATTGTGAGTTGCCTGTGGAGTGCAAGCGGTTAGCGCCATCTATCTATTGTAGTGAAAAGAACGAAGCAAGCCGGCCTGTTGCATTAGGCAATCAATTGCTACAAAGTTGCTAAGAAAGTCAACACGAGAAAACAGATTTCCGTCTCAGATTTAGTCGTGGCTTAGAAACGTCTGTTCCTTATTGATAGACCTTAACATATCTTAACTAATTATGTCGAATCAATGAAAAATGCTATCGTCCACAGCATGAACTGTTAGATGTATAGAAGTTAAAAGAATATGCTTTTGTCTAGGTAACTTAGACTGTAGGGGCTCGCCACTTTGACCGAATACTTATGTGCAAATGTTGTGTTATACATTTCAGAACAGTGCAATCACTTCCTCAGATCTGTAACAGGCAGTTACGTAGAAGAGAGGCTGTATGATAGCGATTTACTAGCATATGACAACGGCCACGATATGCTCAGCTACTATGCGCTTTGTCCCGGAATAGGTTACCACAACTCGCAGTCAGCCCAGTTAAGCAGAAGTTACAACGTGTGGAGGTCACACAATCAGTTGTTCCTAAAACGGAATACCTTCCTTTTGAAAGCAATCATGAGTTGATCAGGTGGCACTCACCTCACAGCCTAAGGAAATTTTAGTTATCAAATCACGTTCTGCCCTACAACGGTGCGCGCTGAATTTGGGCATTTTTACTCTCTTACTGTCAGCTTGCTACGTCTCGAGAGGAAGCTAACCGCTATGGTGAGCTGTCGCATCGAGTCGTTCATTTCATTGGCCGATTTCCTTACTGCTGCACTAAGTCCGAGCGGCTTTAATTGCTTTTTGAACAATCAATATTCCCTGTAGTCACTGTGAGAGCACAATCGTGTGTGTTAAGCCGCTCAAAATTCGTGCCAATTTAAGCAATGCAGCAATCACTCAATCAAACATGAAATGGCCTTGAACGCATGCGTAATGCATCAATCATGGTGAGCACTAAGCTAGAAATCATGGGCTATGAAGAATCAAAAATGGCTGCAACTCACTTAAACGAGGATAGCAACACCTGTAACATGAAGTTGCAACTACTGCTAAGGATATGCTTAAGCAAATCTTCCCTTGGATCTCCCACACTGTGACCAAAATGATTCGGTTGATAGCTTGATTAACGGCGAAGGTCAAATGATGGTGAATTCCTAAAGCGATGGCAGAAAATTCACTGAAGAGTTATTTTTCTATCTCCTAGTCTTATCAGCTCGACCACCGTCCCAATGGGTCCAGAGATTTAACCGAACAGGTTCTTGGAATTGTCACTTAGCTTGACAAAATGGATCAAGTTTTCAGCGACAAATTGGGGAACGGCATTTTCATCGGGAAAAGGAGCAATCATAAATTACGAAGACCTCAAAGGATGCTCACAGCTAACTTCTGGTGGTCCATATGGCTTTGGTGTACTCAAGCCTAGGAGACGTTTGCCAGCCGAAATGCATCGGACGCAGCGTTCACTCGGATACTTCCAGCAGAGCAGAATCAACTAAGTTCCAACAAGGCAAAATGTGGATAGCAAAGTGTGGAGAGAAAAGCATTCAAAGACTTGTTAGACTGCGGTGGTCACCAGCCGTAAAAATCTACCTAACTCTATTCTGGGTGCTCAAGTGTTAAACTCCCCAAAATGCATTTCATGAGTTAAATATAGAGCATACCTAGACCGTGGAAGAATTGTACTGAAAACGGAACCAACGTCCTCACCTCTTCTACATAATTGAGCTATAACTGAAATAAAAACTCGGGTCCGCGACAATCCATTTTGAGCATGCAGTTCCCCAAACAGGCCGACGCAAAACAGTCGAGTAACTGATGATTGATTGATTGGCATATCGCCAGTAATATTCCAAACCATCAAGATCCAAACCTAAGGCTCTACATTGTTTATGGCCACCTATTAGCTGTGGCAACATTTTCTATTCAATAACTATAAACCAAGTTAGAGAAGCACGATATCTGTCATTTTCAGTCACCATGGAAACACTATGATGTTCGCTTACCTGAGCTCTTTTCGACTTCCTGAGTTCGTGATGACTTTTTTGTAGCCAGTCGAGTATCGCTCTATTCTGGTCGTGCCGAGACGAACCGACTTCCTGCTTCGCCTTACTCATCTTAGTAACAGTTGGTTTGGAATTCCGAGTCAACTTTCGGTCTTCTTTGATGGACCCAACAGATGGCTTCATAGGATGGCACGCTGGGAACTGAGAGCTTGAACTTAAATAAGTTTCTCCATGTGAAGATACCACGGACTTGGAACACATCGCCGCAATTGGTCGTTTACAACCGTCGTCCTGGAACGCTTTCGATCTGTCCCTGCTGTGCCGATGCAGTTTCACAACTCCGGATGTGTTTTTAAGCCGATTCTTACGTAGTTGCCTGGGTCTTGATGAAGCTTATATAAAGAGTCGAAGGCGAAAGAACAAAACTAGAAGTAATAGCACCAAACCGCTTGCTTCCATAGATCTGTATCAACCGGTTAGTGTACAAGATTACCCAACCAACAGTATAAAGGGTACGACGTGACATGTATCAAAGTGAAGTGCAACCTTGATCGTTCTGTATCAGCAGAACCAACCAGTAGCCGAGCAAGTTTTGGTTATAGTACGAAGTGTACTCACTGCACCTGCCACTTCTCGATAGTCGATGATCTTTTATTCCCAATGTGGCTGTTAGCTAAAGTGCATTCTACTTACAGTCAACACGGCGCTATTCTAGTGTGTCGTCAGTTTCTGGTACAAAGAATACCTTCGGCTAAAGCAAGGGCCAATTCCGTCGCCACAAGATTAATGCACTCTTTCCAACCGCTAAACACTATTCCATAGTTTTGATCTTTTTACTTTCTTATCATTCCCACATCCGCGTTTAATAGGCAATTCAGATGTTTCTTACAGGCACTAACCATAGGGCGGAAATCTAGCCGTCACATGCCAGATGACTGCGTCTGAATGCAGGTTGTGGATACGTGTGCTGAACACTGACCCTGGTAAAAAAATTGAACAAGAAGTAAAATGCTGTATTCTAAAACCCTCATTGCCTGATTGCACACCTCGTCTGATGCGCATATGACCATACATACAAACTTTTCCCAGCAGTTATCTACGGTGATCTAAATACATGCCGGTTTTCCTACACTTAACGCAAGTCAAGAATTTGATTTCACACGTACCACTTAAATAGTCTACAAGGAATGCATTAAAGTTCTTAGATGTGACAAATTTTCCGGAAAAATAAGATGATAGCTTTCATGCTCTTTCCATACATTCATCTCTATTGATACGAGTTCGAAGATTAGGGCCGCCGTCGGGTTAGCAAACTGGTTAGTGCTGCTTTACTTTCCATAACCATAATGCGCTTATCTATGTGAATTCCTGTAAACTACGATAACAAAGAGGTGATTGAAACATGTGAATATCATGTACTCGGCGCTGCGGCGGATGTCATAGCTATTCAAAAAGACAACTAGTGCAGTGAACCTACCGATCGTCAAACCAATGGTCCCGGATTCGACGCCTGCTATCTCTACCAGATTAGATCGAATAAGGTCGAAACGCGCCGTGGAGTGCAAGCATTTCGGGCGAGCAACACCTAATTTCCATTCGCTTCAGCTACAGCACTAATGACGTAATGGACACAAGTTCACCTCAATCTGAATCACGGTCCACAATGAGATTGTGTGTCACAATCTATTCACACAATGAATACCATAAAATGACTCTCCAATAAGAAAGAACCCGTCTGTCTTTATCGAACCAAAATGTTTGCAGATGTCGCTTTGTCTCAGACATATGACTCACCTCTTACGCCGCGAGGAAAGAAGGCATCAGTAATACACAGGCACATCGCAACGATGTATTGCTGCCATGTGGCTACCACCAGTAGCGTGTGGGTTGGGTATACCGCACCTGCGCGGCTTCGAGCCGATGAATTCCAGAGTACAATGTGGACTATCATTTCAACCACTGGCCGCGATCTTCAACAAATAAGGGATTGAGACCTCCTGACCTTTATGGATCGAAAATTTGAATGATTGACTCCACATAGGCCGAGTTTACGCTAAGCGACTGCAGCCGGCTATCGGTGGGTCCCTCTCCTGTGACGATGTAAAGGCGACGCTGGTGGCAGCTCCTGGGAGCTCATTTTGTCGCCATTATGCAAAGAGACGGTTTAGATGGGTACAGCTAAGGTTGCATGGACAGGTGTGTTAGTTCTTACTATGCAGAATCTAGGCAACAGCGCAAAAGCATCGACAGCTCGAAGAAAAGCTCGCAACCTCAGCGAAGTCGGTCCCCAAGAAGATTTTAGCTTATCTGAAGCGACGCCTGAGGCCCGCTGGTGGCTTAGTAGTGTTAGAGGGCTCGAGTAGACAGGTTTTGACTTCCAGCACTGAACGTGCGTCCGCACTGGCGGCGCACTTCGCCTCCGTATTCACAGGTGTGCATGTGCGTATACCGAACTCGACGTGTGAAGCTCCTGTGGTACTCGAGTGTCTGGATTGCAATGTGGAAGATGTCCGCAATCTGCTCATTAGTCTTGACGGCATAAGTGTGTCAGATCTGAAGGCCTCCATCCGCTAATTGCTTGCCTCTGTCATCCTTCACAGACTGACGGGCACTCGTGAAAGCCTTATTTGTGAAAAGCAAGCTGGGTTTCGTCGATGTTGTGGCTGCATTGACCACATCTTCACTTTGCGTCATTTGTTGGAGCACCGTCATATATATTGGCGACCCACTGTTGTCGTGTTCCTCGATATCAAAGGTGTATTGGATTCAGTGGATAGACGTGCACATTGGGACTGTCTACCTAGGAAAGGTGTACCCGAGAAATGTGTAAATATTATCCCTGCCTTATACGCGCGTAGTTTGGGCAGAGTGAGGGCTTACATCAAGCTGTCGCCGCCCTTTAATGTCTCCAGTAGTGTGAGACAAGCATGCCCGCTGTAACCTTTCCACTTCAACTCCGCTATTGATGAAATCAAGGAAATCGCATTCACAGGACACGACTTAGAAGGTGTGGATCTGCTCCCAGAAGAACGACTTCTTGACTTGAAGTATGCAGACGACATTGCCCTCAACTGTGACAGCTCTCAGACGTGGCAAGCGGCACTGGACAGATTAGCACTGGCTGTCTGTCACTTCGGGCTTTGCTTCGCACCCTCGAAGTGCACCGTTCCTCGAAGATTGGCCTTGACGGTTTCCTGCGCTGACCCTTGGTACGGATCAGCTAGAAGTCCTTCAAAAAAACTCAACTACCTGGGAAATTGCATCAGCGCCCGTGGGATTGAAGATGAGATCACGAACCGTATAGTAAAAGCTGGAGGCGCTTTTACTAACCTTCACCACTTATGGCGCCGGCGCGATATCACTCTTGCCCTGAAGGGTAGAGTGTACAATGTAGCGGTACGTTCGACCCTACTGTACGGTTGTAAAAACCTAACCCATTAGATCGACGAACCTAAAGAGGTTAGTTACGTTCAACCACCGGTGCCTTCGCAATTTACCTCACATCTGGTGGGAACACCGTGTGAGCAACGAGCGTGTTCGACGCCTTGTTTACAGCACAGAACAAGGAAATGACCCGCTCTGCACCGTCATTTCACATTCCAGGCTCCGTTGGCTTTGCTACGTGTTACGCATGCCAGTCCACCGACTTCCGCGACGTGCGTTGTTCGCTCATCCGGGGGTGTGGATGGAAGAAGATGAGGGATGGCCAAGCGATGACTTGGTTCAGAGGAATGAAGGCCCTCGTCTCGAAGCTGGCCTCGGTTGGAGTGTCTCGGATCCCTGGCTGAGGTCTGAAAGACAATGCACACGTTTGGCTGGATATATTGTGATATGGTTAGGAACCGACCTCAGTGGCGTCCATGCCGTGAGTTTCTTTGTCGCATCTCATCCCTCTTAGCCCCCTCCAACCACGATCTCACTATTTAGCCTTATGAAAGTTTGCACAGTCATTTTGTGCTGCATAGTAGCCGGCTGATAGCTTACCGGAACGATGTCCATCCGTTACCGGCAGCTCAGATGACTTACACTTGTTGCATATTTTTCTCCTTTTTCTATCTATTGCGGCACAGTAGCTGAGGTCTTCCCCACCTCTAGCGAAGGTGTATAATGATGAATGCTGGTGATGCCACACATCGGACACTGTTTATGATAATTGAGGAGACGCATGGCGCATAATTAACCAAATTTCCCATTCGTGGTAAAGGGATTGTCTATTACGTTATCTGAGGTTCACGTTACGCAAAAGTCCGCAGCAGCTTTGTGTTGCAGCTGTTGGAGGTGGCCTACGATCGAAAAATCACACAGTTGCATGTATCGCAGCAATGCCTTAGTGATAGGTATCGTTATCATATAAGCCACTTGATACCACTCTTCTGATAACTTCCGAGGGCAGTACTGTTCCGAAGGGGATGCAGTTTCGGTAATTGCAGAAGCGGGTCAAAACTCAGTAAGGCAAGATTCAGAGGATTCGGTGAGTAGTCAGCTTCGAGTAAAGAGCAAATAACGTTGATATATATATATATATATATATATATATATATATATATGCTCAGAAGCCTGAGTACAGACAATGTGCTATTAGAGTCACGACAAAAACTAAAGACAATAATTGAACAGAAGGAAGAGGCGTTTTGTGTTTTAAACACGTCGTTTTGGGCTCTTTGTTTTTCCACTGAGAATTAAATATCTGACGAGAAGTCAACAAACACTGCTGGCACTAAAGTCTGTCATGACCTAAAACACCCAAAGTTTTCAGATACTGGGCGTAGGTGTCGCGTGGTCCCCAGCCTGGAATGCGGACGATACTTACAGATGATAAGGACAAGGCTGTCTTCACAGTGCTACCTTTACCTGGCACTGGTTATTCACTGTTGTACTTCTTCTAGTTGCTTCAGGGAAGCATAAATAACACTCTATTGGGACGGCGGTGGGCTGGCATGCGCAATAAGTGGCCAAGCTAACGTGTGCGGTGTCGGAGGATAACATTCTGGGGACGGGAACTGTTCGCTCCAAGCCATCTGTCACGAACATCCGTGTTGCTTACGTGATGTTGCCACCATATGCGAGCAAGCCTTCAAAGATAACGAGCATCAAGACTTAAAATCGTTTCAGGTCTGCTGAGTACAACGGGATCGTAAGGATGGATGCACTATGCACCTTGCCTTTGATCTTGTGATTAACATACCGCCCACTGTGCAGTCCTACGAAAATTCGTACTAATAGAAAAAATATGAAACAGTGTTATGTTACTTAGTTAAGCACATTGTTTGCAGTCACTTGCTAGCCTATAAATACGTCCGTTCGCTCTGGAGTAAATAGACGCTGACAGCGTCTTGAGTCCGCTATTGTTTGGTACCCATCCAAGTTAACCCCTGTCTAGTTACCTTCAGTA